GCTGTGCATGGGGTCGCTATGAGTCGGTTCTGACTTGATGGCACCTGACAACAACAACAACATGGACAGGAAGACTTAACACTGTGAAAATTTCACTACTGCCGAAAGCAATCTACAGATATAAAGCAATCCCAACAGCATTCTTTAAAGAGATGGAAAAAATGATATGGAAATGAAAGAGACCTCAGATAAGCAAAGTACTGGAAAAGAAGAAGAACAAAGTGGGAGGCCTCTCACTTCTTGATCTCAAAATCCACTACACAGTCATAGTGGCCAAAACAGTCTGATACTGGTATAATGAAAGATACGTGGATCAATGGACTAGAATTGGAACCCAGAAGTAACTCCATTCACATACAGTCAACTGATCTCTGACAAAGGGCTGAAACACATTAAATGGGGAAGAGGTAGTCTCTTCAACAAATGGTTCTGGCAAAGCTGGAAATAGATTTGCAAAAGAATGGAATAAGACCTGTATCTCACACCTTATATAAAAGCTAATCCAACATGGATTAAAGACCTAAATGTAAATCCCAGAACTATAAAGATCATCAAGGAAAAAGTGGGGACAAATTTAAGGCCTCTAACACATGGCATACATACACTACCAAACACTGCAAAAAAACATACAAACAACAGAAGATGAAATAGATGACTAAGACGTACTACAAATTAGAAATTTACGTGCATCTAAAGATTTCACCAAAAGAGTAAAAAGGGAGTCCACAGACTGGGAATTTTTTTTTTTTTTTTTTTTTGCAATGATGTATCAGGCAAGGAACTAATCTCTAAAATGTATAGAGAACTACAATGCCTCTACAAGAAAAAGACAAACAACACACAAGCAAAAAATGGGTACAAGGCATGAACAGACTCTTCACCAAGGAAGACATTACGGCAGCCAAGAAACATGTGAAAAAAATGTCTATGATCATTAGTCATTGTTTTTGTTGTTGTTAAGCACCATCGAGTTGGTTCCAACCCATAGTGACCCTGTATAGGGTTTCCGAGGAGCCGCTGGTGAGCTTGAACCACCGACCTTGAAGTTCAAACAGCTTTGTAGTTTGGTGCATTAACCGATAGTGCCACACCAACCAGCTGGCTGCTTCACTCTCAACTCTAGCTCCCAGTGACTAGGTCAGTGTTCATGGGCTCAGAAGTTCACAAACATCCCTAAAATTCAGACCAGTCAGCCCTTTGTCTTCTCTCTCCCTTTTTAAGGTCAACAGGTGTTGATGGAACATGGGCAAACTCAGCCCATGTCTTCATTGCTGCATTTCTCCCACTTACTCTCACAAGTAGAGCAGGGAGGTCAGCAGCGAGCATGCTAGACCACAGGTTCACTTTGAGTCTCAGTCTTCAGTGACGATTTTCCCTGATGAGCTGACTTTTTTGACTTGATGCCTCAAAAGCAAACAGCTTGATTGATATTCAAACCGCCAGTCTGAGTTTTTCTGCTGGTCTTTCAATAAGAATCTTCTGTTCTCCCAGCCATTCTGGGTTGGTCTGCATGTTGTTTCAAGAATGTCCCACCTCAGAAGATTCTAGGTGGGGTTCCGGATTACACCTAAGGCTCCATACTCTACAAAGGCTTAACAAGAAACCTATTTCCCTGGGCAAATTCTAATTCCCCTTTTAGCTAATCCAATCAGTTATAGGCTGAAGGCAGGTTTATAAGTTTTCTGTAGTCATACTTCTCAATATTCATTTCTATCACACTTTGGTGTCTATTTTACAACAGTAGGCAGTGGAAACCAATATCCTCAAGACAGTCAGGCACCTTAACATTTTTTCCCTCCTTTATCCATTTAAACTATGTCTTCATCCCTGTATCACAGAGCCCTGTTGTTCCAAGATTGTGTAAAAATCACTAGCGCTGGAAGCATAGTCATTACCAATCAGGCTGCTAACCTCAAGGTCAGCAGTTCGTAACTACCAACCATTCCACAGAAGAAAGATGAGGCTTTCTGCTCCTGTAAAGATTTACAGCCTCGGAAACCCTGTGCAGGGTCACTATAAGTTGGAATCAACTCCATGATACTTAACAACAACAACAACAACACCTATATCTCATTTAACTCATACACACCTCCTAAACTCTTCCCGTCTTCATTGTTCATCTGCCACTCTCCCCCTCCTTGCATATTGTCCTCCCCATCACACGAGCTAACATGTATCTACCTGCTAACCTGTGAATTACTCTCCACTCCTTCCCATCCCTAATGCGCTCTAATAGCTTAGTGGTTCCTAGTCAGACTGCTAATTTCAAAGTCAGCAGTGCAAAACTACCAGTGATTCCACGGGAAAAAGATGAGGTTTTCTGCTCCCATAAAGATTTGTAGCCTCAGAAACCATATGTAGGGTCGCTGTGAGTTAGAACCTACTCTACACCACCATCATCACTACCTTCTCATCCCTGGTAACCATCAAACAATGGTTCTTTTAGTATGAGAGTATTTTCTTAAGCTTTTACAATATTGTTGTTGTTGTTGTTGTTGTTATGTGCTGTGGAGTCAGTTCCGACTCATAGCAACCCTGTACAGGGTTTCCAAGGCTGTAAATCTTTACGGGAGCAGAAAGCCTCACCTTTCTCCCACAGAACAGCTGGTAGTTTCGAACTGCTGACCGTGAGATTCACAGCCCTATTCGTAATCACTACACTACGAGAGCGACTTTACAATATAGTCTCATGCAATATTTGTCCTTTTTTGATTGACTAATTGCACTCAGCATAATGTCCTCAAGGTTCATCCATATTATGAGGTGTTTTACAGATTCATCATTTTTTGCAAGGTAACAACAACACCTATATCTCATTTAACTCATACACACCTCCTAAACTCTTTCCGTCTTCATTGTTCATCTGCCACTCTCCCTCTTCTTGTGTATTCCATTGTGTGCGTATACAAAGTTTCTTTACCTCTTCTTCCATTGATGGGCATCTTTTTACTACTGTGACTAGTGCTGTGATGAACATTGGTGTATAAATATCTACTTGTATTTCTTGTGGATATATATCAAATAGATTGTTGGGTCATAAGGTATTTATAATTCCAACTTTCTGAAGACGTGCCACACCATTTTCTGAGTGGTTGAACCATTTTACAGTCCCACCAGCAATGTAGGAGGGTCCCAGTCTCTCAACACCCTCACCAGCATGTGTTGCATTCTGTTTTTTGGAACTACTCTGTTAATGCTGGTGTGAGACAATATCTCACTATTGTTTTAATTTACATCTCTCTAGGGAGTCCTGGTGTGGCACTATGGGCTAATGTGTCAGACTGCAAAATCGTTTGAACTGCAAGATCGGTGGCTCAAGCTCACCAGCTGCTTCTTGGAAACCCTATACAGGGTCGTGTTAGGCCCTGTCTGTGGCCTTAACTATCAGGAGACCCCAAAGAGATTATCAGGACTTGAGTTTGATGCAACAGTAAGAGGTTTATTGTTTATTTGCCAGCGCGCTGGGGTCCACCCTCACATAGACTCCTAAAACCAGGAGCTGAAGGTGACCCCGCATTGTTTTACATACCAGTTTTTATAAGGTTTTAGGGGGCATAATTGCACAGTACTATAGATACAGTTTCTAATTGGCTAGCTATTTTTACTCTATACCTTTATTGGTCTTGGCATGAAGCAAGCTTTTTGTCCTATAAGTTGATTGGCTTTGGCAAGGGATAAGACAGTTAATTGCAAGTGTGTGTGGTTGGAATATTCCCAACCGTCTGGGTCAGCCTGACTGTTATGAGTTTCTCAAGGATTATTTTGACATTGAGGTTTTGTGGGCTGGCCGATTGACCTCGTCTCTAGAGGGAACTAAAAACTGAGGCCTTGTCTTCCCGAAATGTTTTCTGAAGCCTGACTAGAGTTTAGTCAAGTGATTTTTAGTTTGGCATGATCAGTTGGGTCCTTACAGTCGCTATGGGTCAGAAGCAACTCAAAGGCACCAAACCCCTTGCTATGCTCAGAATCGGTTACAGATGAGATCATTGTGATCTGTAAAGTTTTCATCTGCTTGTTTTTGGGAGTCGGTTGACAGGCCTTTCTAGATTGTGTTAGCATGGAAGCTTCGTTGAAATCTGTTCAGCATCCTAGCAACACACAAGTCCATGCTGACAGACAGGGGATGTCTGTGCTTGGAGTACACAGGTCAGGAATCAAGGTGAGAATTCTACCACTGACCCACCAATAACACAAGACAACGAAGAGTTGTCATCAGGCCGATTTGTGGCTTTCAGATTTTGCTGCCCCTTCAGTCATTAGTTTCTTCAAAATTATCCTTTGACCTAGTTTCCTGACATGTTCTTACTTTTTTTGACTCGTCTCTCAATAGTTATGAAGCCTCACTGGCCTTCTGGCTGTGCCCTACATGGTTTCCCTCAAAGAGATCCAGTTTCCCAACTGCTGTAGTTAGTCCTTGCCCCGCCCATAAAATGCTCATGAAAACAAGTCTCTTTTCTGCATGAATGCCCCTTGTCATTGTTGTTAAGTGATGTCAAGTTGGTTCCAACTCATAGTGACCCTGTGTGGAGTTTCCAAGGAGCAACTGATGGGTTAGCAGTCCAGTGCTTATCCTGTAGCACCACACCATGACACCTCTAAACTGACGAGTACGATGCCAACCTGCAAAGAGCCAACTCCACCCTCTTGCCATACACAAGTTTCTCCTACAACTTTGGCTTGTTGTGGCCTTGTCCCTAGGGCAGCCCTGTGTGGCCTGGCCTCCAAGTGTGCTGGCCTTCCTTGGGTCACATCTGACAGTTCACACCAGATGCTCATAGGTTCCTTATGCTGAAATGTTAAGACAGAAATCGAGACAAACAGCGGTGGTCAGCATCTGCAGAGCCCTCAGAGTTCCCCAGATTGCCTCATCTCCCAAAGCCCCTGGGAAATCAGACCACACATTTAGCAAAGCAAAGTAGTTTAATGACACAAGCGCTCCAAGTCTCTAAGTACACATGTCCTGAAGGCTTGGTCTGAGGCTCCTTGAAGCCTCCAGGCTCTCACGACAGGCTCAGGCTCAAGACAACAGAGGCCAGCATCAGGCACATGGCCAGTCCAGCCCTACTGCCCTGTGTGGTACTGGAAGACTCAACCATCTCCCTGAAGGCAGTTTCGTTTATCTCTGGCCCATACTCATTGCACAAGGAATCTTCACAACACTTGGCGTATAGGAAGGCTGTGGGTTTCAAAAGGATGAACCTCTGGAGAGATGGAGCAGGCATTTCAACGACTGGGCAGTACTGCGAACACTGCTTTGACATGATAAAGAAACGTGCAAATATTTCTAAAAAGAAAGAGAAAAGGGAAACATGAATGTGGTCCCGAGGCTGTTTCTGTCCCACTGGCACCTAGTCCCCGGATCGCTCACTTGAATGTGGAAGCAGGGACCATCACCAGGCAGGGGCTTCTTAACTGCTCTGGGGGGTGGTCCTAGGCCTGTCCAGACTGGAAGGGGTTTTTTGGTTTGGGAACACACAAGCTCTCAGTGCCCAAATTTCTGACCCAGACGGACACAAGGATGCAGCCATAACCCCTCAGCCGGACAGAGCCGGAGGCAGAGCCCACAGGCAGGCACCTGACTCCATGCTGGTTCAGATAGTTAGCAGTTGCAAGGGACTGAATTGTGCTGCCGGAAAACACAGGTTGAAATCTTGATCCCGTTGTGATGCTGTGGGATAATGCACTGGACCAGAAGGTCAGTTTGAACTGCAAGGTTTACAGTTCAAATTCAATAGCTGCTCCTCAGAAACTCTATACAGGGTCACTAAGAGTCAGAACTGACTCAAAGGCACTTAACAACAACAATACCTATAGACACAATCTCATTTGAGAATACGGTTTTCCTTGTTATGTTAGTGAGACCCTCCCTATCAGTATAAGATGTGTCTTCAACCAATGACTTTTTGTTGTTGTTGTTGTCTTCTGGGCCAAAAGATGAACCATTGCATACGGTTTAGGGCTTTGGCTACTAGGTTGAAATGAGCTCTTCAAATGTCTCCCATAAATACTTCAAAATCGTTAAAGAACCATATGTTTTGATCCTTCACTTTAGTCTCTTGAACTGCTGCTACTTAACATGTTTTCTAAAACAACCATTAGAATGTTTAATCATGGAACAGTGTTTATACTTAAAAGTAAGACAGCCAAGATCCCTAAAGCAATCCCTAAAGTACAAAAAGGCATGTTTATAAACATAAACTGTAGTAACATCTTTTCAAAAGACAAGAATAGCATTTAAATCCTTTAGAGACGTATGCCTGGAACTCTACCACTGACGTCACTGGTCAATATTCACAACCAACTTAGTGAGGATGTTGCCCACTGCCTAACATCTGTCTGTAGGACAGTTGGGGTATTTCTGCAGCGCATTCATAATTTGAGTATTACCCAAAAGTAGTTTCCTCAGCTGGTACGCTCTGTGCATTTACTGGAGTTCTTTCCTCGGGCTTTATTAATTCTAGTTGTAAGTGTTCAAAAGCCTTTATGACAACAGGTTTCTCAAAATTGTAAATGGAATGAGCCTTCCTTTGAATAAACTTCTGAAATTCATTACAGACCATTTGAAAATTAAAGGGCTCCTCTTCACCGATGTCAATTAAATATTTAATTACTATTATAAGACAAATTTCCAAGGCTGACAAACCATGTACACGATTTGCTTTAGAATTCATGCTACATAGCTGACTTGGCTCCATCCCATCTGATGCGTCATGACTGCGTGTGGTGTTGTTACACGATTGAAAGCACCAGTACCGTGCACAATGTTGGCACTGGAAGGAAGGCTTCCGCTGTACGTCCTGTATACTTCTCCCTTCTGAGAGACACTCTAGGATTTTTCGTGGTCTGACTCCCAACTCTCCTTCTTTCTGAAAGCTATCAGCTTCTTGCTTCCATAATTGCTTAATCTGAATAGTCTCATTCCACTTCTAAGCAAAACATTTGTTTGGAAAGTCTGCAGGTAGAGATGAGCTGTGGAAAACCAAATGAATTCATTAAGTGTATCTGCCAGTAGGAAAATCATGACCTCACTCTTTTTTCTGAGAGTTCCAAAATATTCAATCTACATGTAAGACCAACTACTACAACTGGAGTCTGTGCAGACTGAGAAATATAAAAAAGATTATGAAGTAGTGTTTGTTTTTCTGATGGGCAAAAAGATCAAATTCACCCAAAATGAAGATGACTGGGCAAATGCTAGTCCAATTACTGTTTTTTTTTTAGAGCTTGCAGGGGAAATGAAAGGTTCTCAGCAAAGCTTCCCATTTAGATGAATTTGTAATCTATTTTCACTCATATTTTCTATTTCCATGAGTTCCTTTAAAACATGATTTATTAACTTCTTTTTTCCTGACCCTCGGGGTCCAATCATGGACACAAGATTCCTTTCTCCACGGACAGCAGTTCTTGTTGGCAACTCCATTAGGTGTTTGCATTGTACCTGCAACAATCCAAACAGGTTACTATGGGAACTATGATGACAAAATCTGTCGTGCAAAAGTCTTTGTACCTGTGAAAGACACTCTCCATTATTCAGTTGTTACCCTTTGATGTATCACTGTTCATTTCAACAAAGTCAATCCAGGGCAGAGAAGGGGATCCAGCCTCAGGGATCCGTCCCCCTTTTCTATATCTCCTCACTACTTACTTAGGTTTGGCTTCACCAGCTACCGCCAACTGCATGCAAACATTCCCACTAACTGCAGTGACTTTTAAGACAAAAAGAAGAGATGAGACACAAAAAGAAGTACAGGTGGGAGGAGGGAGACAGATGCTTGCCAAGGCTATAGAAGCTAAGACTAGGACCTTCGCTCAGACAGACTTCTTCTAGAGCAGGGACCTCCCAAACTGACAGAAAACACATTTCTGCGTTTCAAAACCACCTACTTGTTTTTCTGTTACTGAAGCACCAATGAAAACGGAGAGCTCGGCTGCTATTCTCTTATGTCTTCTTCTGGAAGCTGTGTTCCATGCATGCTTATCAAGTTCACCCTGGATAAGCGGAGTTGTTAGGACTGCTTTAGCACCTCATCGACTTTCTGGGACACTTCAGAAGGGCTCTGAAAGCAACTGAAATTGGGATTTTCAGCTCCACCTCCAACGGAGTCTTTGTGAGACTGGGAAGTTCTCAGGGAAGCAGGAACCACAGGCCAGTGGTTTCCAAGATGTTTCTCAAGTGTTGCCTTTCACAACATCTCCTAGGTACAGCATCCCTTGTAAAATCTAACCACATATGGAGGTTTTTAACATTCTTAAAGCTTCATTTTTTTATTTAAAAAGAAATGGAACGATATTGCTACTATTTCCTTCCTTAAGAAATCAGTTGTGGTAAGTTGACTTTGACTCCTGGTGACCCCAAGTGTGTCAGAGTAGAACGTCACTGCATAGGCTTTTCCATGGCTAGTTTTTTGGAAGTGGATTGCCAGCTCTTTCTTCTGAGGTATCTCCAGATAAACTTCCATCTCCAACTTTTTGGCCAGCAGCTGAACATGCTCACCGTTTAAACCCCCATGGACTCCGTTTTCTTCCATGACCTACCCACCGTGTCCTCTTGACAACTGCGTGAGCACTGGCTCTGACTCAGTTGCTGGCTTCTTGGGACTTTACTCTTCACATCTGAAGAGAGGCTATCTCTTAGCTATCTAGTGGTGCATTGGTAACAACCACAAAACCCCCACAAGTTGATGGCTTTAGCAAGCAGGAGTGTGTTCTCTCATAGTTTAGGAGGTTAAAGGTCTGGATTCATAGTGCTGGACTACGGGAAGGCACTCTCTGTCAGTGTCTCCTGGTTCTAGGAGGCCCTCAGTACCAGGATCCCAGACACAAAGAATGTGCTCCTCTCTCGGGCTCTACTTTTTTATGGTAATCGGTCCCCTCAGATCTCTGACAGCTTGTTAAATCCCCCTTTTTTTGTGTCCTCAATAGAGATACTTCCTAATCCTATAAGTTATACCCTGCCTCATTAACATTTGTTGTTGTTGTTAAGTGCTGTGGAGTCAGTTCCAACTCATAACGACCCTGGTGAGTTTGAAACGCTAACCTTGGTTCAAAACTGACCTATCGGTCCAGTGTTGTATCCCACAGCACCACTCTTGCCCCATTAATATCATAGACATTACGGTTTACAACATAGAAGATAATTACAACACACCACAAGAGAAAGACCAATTACATAATACTGAGACTCATGGACCAGCCAAGTTGACACATTTTGTGAGGGATACAATTCAATCACCAATGGGTCCCTTTATATGAACTGTTCTTGGGTAAGGGGAACTAGACAGACGCTTGCTCTGAGGTGGATGTGACGAACATGCAAATACAACGGGAGATACGTACTCGTGGCAGCAACAACACAGTATCTGTCTGCGTTTTCACATTTCACAGGGTTAGTACATACGAAAGTATTTTCTCTCTCGCAAACATGACAGTTCAGTGCTGAAATGAGAAAGACAGTGAAGTGTTCGGGTCCTGCACTGCCCTCCTCACCCGGTCAGCACAGAGCAGGCAGGCTCTCATCTTCCCATCTCCCAACAGCCCGCTCCCATTCCACCCATGGACTACATACACCTCTATGTCTTCTCTCTTGTGAGCTCCCTCATTTATCCAGTGTGTGTCTGATCAGACACCTATATCCAGACACACCCAGATCCACTCTCCATACCACCACTCGTCTGTCAGTTTCCTACTGTGGTGGCTTGTGAGTTGCTGTGAATCTGGACTCTATGGCACGGGTATTTTAAATAGCAGCAGGGCCACCCATGGTGGACAGGTTTCAGATGAGCTTCCAGATGAATAGCAGTGAAGCACTGTCAGATCTAGGGCCAGAATATGAGCCCCTTAGGTTGGAAGACACTCAAAATGATACTGGGGAAGAGCTCCCTCCTCAAGGTACAGTTGACCGTGATGATGCGAATGGAGTAAAGCCCTCAGGACCTTCATTTGCTGATGCGGCACAACTCAAAATGAAGAGAAACAGCTGTAAACATTTATTAATAATAACAACATGGAATGTATGAAGTATGACTCTAGGAAGAAAATTGTCAAAAATGAAATGAAACTCATAAATATCAATATTCTAGATATTAGTGAGCTGAAAAGGACTGGTATTGGCCATTCCGAATCTGACAGCCACATGGTTTACTATGTTGGGTATGACAAATTGAAGCGGAATGGTGTTGCATTCATTGTCAAAAAGAACATATCCAGATCTGTCATGAGATACAACGTTGCCTGTGATAGGATAATATCCATGCACGTACAGGGAAGGCCAGTTTAATACCACTATTATTCAAATTTATGCACCAACCACTAAAGCCAGTGAGAATGAAATAGAAGAATTCTACCAACTTCTTCTATTTGAAATTGATCAAACATGCCATCAAGATGTATTGAACATTACTGGTGACTGGAATGCAAAGGCTGGAAACAAAGAAGAAGGGTAAGCTGTTGAAAAATATGGCCTTGGTGATAGAAATGATGCTGGAGCTCGCATGATAGAATTCTTCAAGACCAATGATTTGTTCATTGCAAATACCTTTTTTAAACAACATAAAAGTCAATTATACACAGGGACCTCACCAGATAGAATACACAGATATCAACTTGACTACATCTGTGGAAAGAAACAATGGAAAAGCTCCATATCATCAGTGAAAACAAGGCCAGGGGCAGACTGTGGAACAGACCATCAGCTGCTCATATACAAATTCAGATTGACGCTGAAGAAAATGCAAGCAAGTCCAAGAGCCAAAATATGGCCTTGAATACATCCCACCTAAATTTAGAAATCATCTGAAGAACAAATTTGATGTATTAGACACTAAAGACCAAAGAACAGAAGAGTTGTGGGATGACATCAAGAACATCATATGGGAAGATCGGAAAAGGTCATTAAGAAGACAAGAAAGAAGGAAAAGACCAAAATCGGTGTCAGAAGAGACTCTGAAACTTGCTCTCCAGCGTAGAGCTGCTAAAGCAATGGGAGAAGGGAGGAGGTACAAGGAGCTCTGGTAACGTAGTGGTTACGAATCTGGCTGCAAACCTCAAGGTCAGCAGTTCGAAACTACCAGCTGTTCCGTGGGAGAAAGATGAGGCTTTCTGCTCCCGTAAAGATTGACAGCCTCAGAAACCCTGTACAGGGTTGCTATGAGTCAGAACAGAATCCACGACACACAAACACCACCACCACACAAGAGCTAAACACAAATCTTCAAAGAACACCTATCTCAAGAAGACAAAGTCAAATATTATAACAAAATGTGCAAATGACCTGGAGTTAAAAAAACCAAAAGGGAAGAATACGCTCAGCATTTCTCAAACCCAGGGAAGTGAAGAAAACATTCAAGAATCGACTCGCGGTACTGAAGGATTCTCTAAGCAAATTATTGAATGATGCAGAAAGCATCAAAAGAAGATGGAAGGAATACACAGAGTCACTGTACCAAAAGTAAATGGTTGATGTTCAACCATTTCCAGAGGTAGCATATGATCAAGAGCCAATGATCCTGAAAGAAGAAATCCAAGGTACACTGAAGGCATTAGCAAAGTATAAGGCACCAGTAATTGATGGAATACAAATTGAAATCTTTCAACAAAGTGAGGCAGCACTGGAGACACTCACTTATTTATGTGAAGAAATTTGGAAGACAACTACCTGACCAACTGACTGGAAGAGTTCCGTATCTGTGCCCATTCCAAAGAGAGGTGATACAACGGAATGCAGACATCATTGGACAATCTCATTGATATCCCATGCGAGTAAAGTTTTACTAAAGGTAACACAGAAATGAATGCAAGCATACATTGACAGAGAGCTTCCAGAGGTTCAGGCTGGATTCAGAAGAGGATGTGGAACAAGGGATATCACTGTTGACAATCAGATGGATCTTTGCTGAAAACAGAAAATACCAGAAAGATGTTTATCTGTGTTTTATTGACAATGCAAAGGCTTTCAACCGTGTGGATCATGACAAGCTATGGACATTGCAAAGTATGACTATTCCAGAACACTTAATTGTTCTCATGAGGAACCTGTACACAGACCAAGAGGCAACTGTTCGAACAGAACAAGGGAACACCAAATGGTTTAAACTTAGGAAAGGTGTGCGCCAGGATTGTATTCTTTCACCATACTTATTCAACTTGTATTCTGAGTATATAATCTCAGAAGCTGGGTTATAAGAAGAAAAACGTGGCACCAGGATTGGAGGAAGACTCATTAACAACCTGTGATATGCAGATGATACAGCCTTGCTTGCTGAAAGTGAAGAGGACTTAAAATACATACTGATGAAGATCAAAGACCATAGCCTTCAGTATGGCTTGAATCTCCATTTAGAGTAAACAAAAGTTCTTACCACTGGACCAATAAACAACATTCTTATCAATGGAGAAAAGACAGAAGTTGTCAGAGACTTCGTTTTTCTTGGCTCAACAATCAACACTCATTGAATCAGCTGCCAAGAAATCAAACGATGTATTATTGCATTAGGAAAATCTGCTGCACAAGACTTCTTTAAAGTGTTGAAGAGCAAAGATGTCACTTTGAGAACTAAGGTGCCCCTGACCCAAGCCATGGTATTTTCAATAATGTCATATGCAAGTGAAAGTCGGACAGTGAATAAAGAAAACCATAGAAGAATTCATGCATTTGAGTTATGGTGTTGGAAGAAAATATTGAAAGTACCATGGACTGACAAAAGAACAAACAAATCTGTGTTGGAAGAAGTACAGCCAGAGTGCTCCTTCGGAGCCAGGATGGCCAGACTTTGTCTCTCCAGGGACAAGTCACTGGAGAAGGATATCTATGTTTGGTAAGGTGGAGTGTTGGAGAAAAAGAGGAAGATCCCCAGCAAGATGGAGTGGCACAGTGGCCACAGCAATGGGCTCATATGTAGCAACTATTGTGAGGTTGGCCCAGGACAGGGCAGTGTTTCGTTCTGTTGTATATAAAGTCTCTGAGTCAGCACCGACTCGATGGCACTGAACAACAACAACAGCAACTCTCCATTACCTGCACTGATATATGCCCCCACAACTCACATTCAAATATGCTCACACCCACAACCCTCAAGCAGATCCACGCCAAACAAGCTACACCCAGACACTCCGCACAACCTGAGACACCACAAATGTACACTCCACACGCCACCCGCACCCAGATAGTCTCCCTACAACCAGGCAAACCTATGCTTAGGTACAACCCAGACATACAACCACACCTAGATATACTCACACCCATACCCAGATACTCTCACACAGAACCAGACGCACCCAGACACAACATAGACACACTATCCAGCCACACACCTGTAGCCATCCTTGACTCATCTGCACACATCCACTAACACATATGCACACCCAGACACACATACCCATAGACACACACAGAACTCTGACACAATCAGACACACACCCAGACAGGTACACACTCAACCCTGGTGTCTCCCTTTCAACTTTCCCTAGAAAAACCAGGTGTTTGGTGTCTGCTTCACATGTCCTTTCCCTGGATCCTTGGAGCCTGCACCAGACCAGGCAAGTGTGCAGCTCCACAGGTGACACACTAGGGGGCCCTGTCAGCACCCTTCCCACAGCAGGCCCCCTCCCTGGCAGCCTCCCCTCACTACACTGACCGTTTTGCCGCTCAGATATGGTGACATTGGTTTCCGACTTCGCGAGATCCAGGAACAGGACCAGGATTAGGAGGAGTGCCATGCTCTCAGTGCGCCCCCCTGCAGGGGATGTGGGGGTCTGGTCAGCTCCCATCCCCCCTTCCTTTTCCTTCTCAACAGTGGGCCTGGTCTGGGGTGGCACGCACTACTTTCCCCACAAGACGCACTCAGCATTGCACCCTCCAGCCCGAGACCCCACCACTGCCTTTCAAAACAAGTGGGCCTGCTGGTTTTGCTCCCGGTCAGCGCAGAGTTCCCTCTGAAGACTTGGTCTGGAACCCCCTCTGGACCCACGGAGCCACCCCCCCCCCTGAACCCCACATGCCTCAGCACCAGGTCACCGGCTAACCCCCTGCCCCTCATCATCCCTCCAGAGAGACCAGACAGCATCACCCACAGGGAGGGACCCTGTGCCAGGCCAGTGAGTCGGGGGCGCGGTCGGGCACATGAAACCTACTCGCAGCCAGTGCCCCCCTTAACTCGGTCCCGCAGACGCCCCACTCAACTCCAATGACCCAGCCCCACTCAGTCCTTACTGGCCCTTCTGTCCCTACGCTGGCTGTGGTCGACTGGACCAGGGTGGAGGTCATATTAGGGCAAGGCCGGGACCTGGAGGATGCCCACCTCAGGCTTGGTCCTCTTTACTAGGCCACCGACGCGAATCTGCTGGGCTCCGCACTGCCCCCTTCCGGGCGCGCTGGGCTTCTTCTGGAATATTCTCCAGCAACTCACTGCCGCCTGGCCACAAGGGGGCGGGCGGGGCTTGAGGCCACCGGAATGGTGGGCGGAGTCATCCTGGGACTGGCCGCCTGAGGCGGGAGGCGGGTCTCCGCTAAGCCGCTACCCTCCTGCACCTCCCCTGCCCTGCGCCCCCTTTCCCAGCGTCCCTGGCCTCCTTCTCCACCCCATTCCCTGCCCTCCAACCCCCTCCCTCTTGTCCCCCAGGCCGCCTTTGCCGCTTCCCCACGCCGCTGGACCCCTTTCCTTTGCCCCCGCTTCCAGGGCCTCCTGCGTCTTCATCCACCGTTAATGTGCTGAGGCCCTGGGGCCCATGTCACCTAGGTTAGGAAATTCCTGCCATCCGTTTCTTGTACCCGCTTTGCAGACACTCACCAACCTGAGCCCATGTTCCGTCCACAGCTCTCCACCTCGGTTCTGGTTCTCAGTCACCTCCGGAGACAGTTACCCATCAGTTCGCAGAACTGTCCGTTTCTTTACAGCTGTGGTAGTTCCTGGTCTCCTTAAGTAAACACGCTTTTCAGAGTTTGTATAACAGTTGTCTATAATATAAAATGTGATTTCCCCCTGATATACTAGAAGGATAATTTCCCTAAAAACGAAATTGATGGTCAAAGGTTCAGTGCACTTGGCATCATTACTGCATCTAACCATCACACAGTTCTAGTGACATGTGACATGGCCTTTGCAGAAAAGCGTCTTGTCTATCCTTTTTGGGGGGTGGGGGGGTGGTATGTTATGAATTTAATTTGATTCCCTCAAAGTGGTGGTGGTGGTGTGCTGTGGAGTCGGTTCCGACTCATAGCCACCCTGTATAGGATTTCTGAGGCTGTAAATCTTTATGGGAGCAGAAAGCTTCCTCTCTCTCCCACGGAACAGCTGCTAGTTTTGAACTGCTGACCTTGAGGTTAGCAGCCCAGTTCGTAACCACTATAAGTATTGTTAATCCTAACCCCTATGATTGTGGTTATAAATCCATTTAGAATTGGGTTTTCTTCATTATGTCAATGAGGGCGTGTTTTAAATCAATCTCTTTTGAGATATAAATGCCAACTGAGCAAGGAATTGAGGAAAGCAGAGATGGGGGAAGATAGTTACCATGCCACATGATGGTCACCAAAGAATCAGGGAACAAGGACCTTCCCCCGATAGTTGACAAAGAAAACCTTCCCTGTAGCTGGCACACACTGAATTTAGACTTCCAACCTCTTAAATTGTAAGCCAGCAGATCCCCACTTGTGGTATTTCTGTACTGGCAGCACTGAGGAACTAGAACCAAGGACACGGGGCCACACAGCACCACTGACTCACCTCTGGAGCTTTGAAGAGCTGGTTATAGCCAAAGCAGACCAACCTGTACTTAGGAACATGAAAAACATCTGAGTTCAGAACACCAGGGACCCCAATAGCAGAAGACATGTGGTGGTGGGTCCTTCAGCACTGGACATACAGAGCCTGTTGCAGCTGAAAGTTTTAGCAACTAGTCTTGGATTTCCAAGTTAACACAAAATGATATTCCTGGAGGCTTGTGATGAAAAAAAGCCCTGGTGGTACTCTTAGATAAGCATTAGATTGCTAAACTAGGTCAGCAGTTCAAACCCACCAGTTGCTTCTCTGGAGAAAGATAAAGCTATCTGCTCCCATAAAGATTTAGTCTTGGAAATCCTATATAAGCTTGCTATGAGTCAGAATCAACTCCATGGTCATGGGTTTGATTTTAGGTTTTAGCCCAATCAGGATACTAGAAGGTGCTCTCTTCTGGATTGGCCACAGTGAGTTTCAAAAGGTGGACATGTCTTTAAGATCCTAGACCCCTATACCTGTCAACCTTGCTGGGAGAAGTGCAACTCCTCACCCAGGAGGACTGAGTTATAGTGTGTGAGACACCTTATTGGGTAGTGGCAGGGATGGGGTTACTCTAGGCTGAGAGAGACTATGGTGAACTCCATAGTGGAATGTTGGGGGTTATGGGGGAGTGTGGCATTGATCTCTAACAGTGTGGGTTTCATGGTCCCAGGGTGGGGTGGGATGGTGGATTTGTTTTCTCTGTAGTGCAGCTGGTTGGGGTTTACACAGATAAATATGCAGCTTCATGTCACACCAGTGATACAGGCAGAAATTGGCAAGAAGTAGAAAAAGACGTCAGCAGCAGTTTTCCCCTACTTGCACGACCTCTTCTTTCTCCCTCAAATCACAAACCCGGTCAGAAGCTAAGACTATAGTTAAATATTTGTAAACTGTCTCTGTGTAAAACCAGCTCCGTGACAATGAGCGTAGGGCAGAACTGAAGGCCCTGCTGCTAGTCCCAGCTACTGAAACTGACAGTGAAGAAAGTACAGAAAAATCCCTAACATTTGCCATCAAAGCACTGCGATTTGTACCCACATCCTTGCCTTGTGACAGGTGCTCATATTTTTGATAGATAATGATAGCGTAGTGGTTACGAATCGGGCTGCGAACCTTAAGGTCAGCAGTTCGAAACTACCAGCCGCTCCGCGGGAGAAAGATGAAGCTTTCTACTCCCGTAAGGATTTACACCCTCGGAAACCCTGTACAGGGTCGCTATGGGTCGGAACCGACTCGACGGCACTTAACAACAACAACAACAACATTCCTTGAAGCCTTCCTGAAGCCCTATAAAAGACCTTGACTTCCCTTCTTCTAGGAGACAGTTGGTAGCAGAGATCCATGCCCGTTTCCTTGCCTTTTGTGAAAAAGCAATAAAGTTGACCATTATTCCCAACCAGCAAAGCCTGTCTCAGAGTGTCTTTGATCTCCTGTATGTGGCAGGCAGAGGGTTCTGTTTGGCATCATCGGGTGGCAATAATGAACAAAGTGACATGACGCCTTGAAGTTGGCTTAGTAAGAACCAGGCATGTCATGTCTGTGCTATGGCTGTATCCACACATCAGATGGATTCAGAATTGACAGAACAAAGACCACTGGTCGTCACCAGGTGCTTGGTACATACACCTATTCTGCTGTGAAGGAATATAAAATGATAATGCATTCAACTGAGTGTGGTGTGCCAAATCTTCTTTCAATCACCGCCTTGGCTAAATGGGGTCATGAAGCATTTGTGGTTCAAGGTGAAATGAAATGAAACTCAAAAGTCCTTTAGGTGATGATTCTAGATGTTGAAGTATTTGAGAAAGCTTATTTGGATTTCCCTCATCCCCCATACACTGATATATTAACTTCCCCTCATTGTGTAACAAATTTGACAGCCTAGTACAACACCATAGTTGAACTCTCTTTATTGTTTGCATTTACTTGCTGGCTTGTTTAACTTGGTAAAAAAAAAAAATTCTAACTTTTTACTGTGAATTGAGTGAAGCTTAACGGACAAAATCATCAACTTTACTTGCAACCAATCCTACGTTTTGCTTCATCTCAATGATTACAATCCCCTCCCTACAACAAGAGTCAGCCTGTTTCTTACCGGTGCCTTCCCTTTTTTCAGAAATAAACAACGCAAAAATATTTGATGTGCACATACAAAACAAAAAAAGTATTTATTTAACTGTCCAAAGGGCACATTTTGCAAGCTAGCCTTTTGCCCACGGCCACACAGCCTTTCTCAGTCCATGGGCCTAGAGTCTGCAGTTGCTCTGTGTCGCCAATGCTGTCACCACTCTTCTAGATAGGATCTCATGCTCCCCGATGGCCCTGGGATCCTGTGCTTCTGAAATGAAAGATGAACTACTCCCCACTTTTAGTTACACATCTACAATTACAGTTGTAGCAATCACAATGAATCCTGCTAACAACTACTCATAATTAAATCATAAACTCCTATCAGCGTCTACCCCATACCCTTTCACCAGATCCATCCGGAGCAGAGGAAAGCTATTCAAAGGAGATTCTACCTTATCCACCACGTTTGGAAACGAAGTACACTCATGAAACTTGTAATCCAGCCACTTTGTGCCTTTGTAGCACCCCCACCCCATTTTTGATAGTCAATGTCTAGATTCCCTGTCCCTGTCAACCTAGTGCACTGAAGAAACAAGTCTGATCCTTGATATGAAGAATCCGTCTATTTCGGTTGGAATTTTGAGCAACTGCATCCATAAGCAAAAGTCCAGTTCATCAAATTGTAGTAATTTACACTTGCTCATAATATCAAGCATCTTTATCTTCATCTGGGTGAGTTCTGGTCAGCTTGTCATCCAAGCTAGGTCCAATGGGTACTAGCTGCAAGTTTGGGAGTTCACACACACCTCCCTGCACTATCAGACCAGCCGGTCATTTCACTGTCAGTTCTAGCCCCCAATGACTAGGTCATGTCCATGGACCAGGGAGTTCACACAGCTCCCTAAACTTCACACCAATCAGTCCTTCCTTTTCTCTCTCTCAGCTCAAGGTCAGTGGGTGTTGATGGAACGTGGCCAACCTCAGCCTATGTCTTCATTGTTGCATTTTTCCCACTTCCACTCACGAGTTGACCAGGGAGGTCACCAGCAAACATACTAGACTACTCACGAGCTTCAGTCCTGGGAGGACATTATACCTGATGAGCTGACTTTCCTTGCCTCGATGCCTCCAATGCAAACAGCTTTCTTGATATTCTGCTTTCTTCTCTGGGCCTTTCTTTCAATAAAAATCTTCTGTTCTCCCAGCCATTCTAGGTTGATCTGAATGTCTTTTCAAGTGAGACTGTCCCACCTCAGAAGGTTCTGGTGGGGCTCTGAATTATACCTAAGAACCCATATTCCACAAAAACTTATCAAGAAGTCCATTTCTCTGGACAAATTCTAATTCCCCTTTTAACTAATCCAATCAATTATAGGCTGAAGGTGGGTTTTTAAGTTTTCTGTAATCATAATTCTCAACATGCATTTCTATCACACTTAAATGTTTATTTTACAATAGTATGCAGTGGAAACCAATATCCACAAGACACTCAAGCATCTAAACATTTTCCTCCCCAGTGACAAGAGAAGGACTCCATGCTGCTGTAGGATAAAGATTTCACCATAAGATCAGTCTGACTTGCTAGGTCGGTTGATCAAGCTCACCAACTGTTCTTTGGGATGTAGGATCTCTATGGGTCGGAACCAATTTGATGGCACTTAACAACAACAACAAGAGAAGGATTTAATGTCTAAGAACAAGTCATTTATTTGTGCTTATTTTCAATATAAAACTCGTATTGACGTTTCTCATCTACAGAAAAGTGTACAATCATAAGTCTAGAAGAATTTCCATGAAGTTCAAACATTCACATAGTCAGCATCCAGACCAAGAAACAGAATAGAATGAAAAGACCTACATTCCTCTGTCCTTCCTCCATTCAGACACTACCAGAAGTCAGAGGCCAAAGGTAACAGCTGTTGGTTTTGATGATGAATGCTACGTCATTCCCCTCGCAGTTGTTGTTGTTTGT